TTTTCGTAAAATATGGACTTTTTCCTACAATTAAAAAAAAGCAAAGTTTGTACGATTTTTGTTGGCAGAGTTACGGTATAATCAAGTTATCTATGCATTTTTGTGCAATTATCACCAGCATTAGCGATACCCGAACGCGCACCAACGGATGATTGCGCGACAAATGCTAATGAAGATCTCCCTCACAAAATCAGTGATCAAACAATTAGAAGACGTTTACGTGAACGTGGTTTAAAATCGAGAGTTCAACATTTTCTCTCAAATGTATAGATCATACATTTTTTCATACATTAGAAGAGGAAAATGTCGAACTTGCGATCTACTTGCGTAAATGTCTTTTAATTGTTTAATCACTGATTCTGTGAGGGAGATCTTCATTAGCAATTTGTTGCGCAATCATCGTTGGTGCGCGTGGAGTATCGCTAATGCTGGTGATAATTGCAAAAAAAATGCATAGATAACTTTGATATGCCGTAACTCTGCCAAAAAAAAAATCGTACAAACTTTGCTTTTTTTAATTTGTAGGAAAAGTCATATTTTATGAAAATTTGGATAAGAATTGCGAAAAAAGTTTATTTCACTCCGTAGAGTTCGTTAAATTTTGCAATTTTTTGAAAAAAAAACACCTTACTTTTAAAGGGGTGAAGAGAGAAGGAGAGATGAAATCAAAATCGAAAGAAAGTTTCTTAAAGTAGAGACTTTATTCTTTAAAACAAAAAAATTTCAAATACAATAATTTTTCGCGGAGATATGCTTATTTGAATTTACGCGAAATTTTGATATTAATTGCGTATTGCGATAATTTTTTTGACCAGTGTACATATATATAAAGAGATGCAAAATAGTTCTCAAACAATACAATAGACATTTGACGAATTAAAATTATGTACATAAGAGAAATTCGACATATTAAAATTACGTACATAATAGAAATTCGGCGAATTAAAATTATGGTCATATTCATGGCATCAAGCACTGTCATCGCAAAAATTAACAATTGACAGTTGTAAATAAATAATATAGTACGCGAACCCACGATCAAAATCTTATGTCATCGTTTTCCATTTAAATCATGTAAAATTGATAGATTAGAGGGCCCTGGACTGGACTGGGGGTTTCGAACATTTGAGATCGGTACGTCTTTGGGAGGCGCTATTGAAAATCTGCTATTGAAAAAAAGAAAAGCGCGACAAATTTATTACAACTAGATAACTTTCTGTTAATTTTTCTTAATTTAGGAAAGTTTTAATTATTAGACATATAACTTATACATACAATATGCTTCGTTTTATATTAAAAATGGAACAATATTCCAAGTTTTTTAAATCTATTTTCCTCCTTTCATTTTCGCAATTAAAAATAAATTAATTCATTATCGTAATCGTTTGATAAGAGCGACATCGACACATATCAGTATTATATTTCATTTAATTATTATTCAAATATTATGTGCAAAAAATATTATGTTTTAATTAAATTTATTTTATATTAAAATTTTTTCCTAAAATATTTTTAAAAAATTATTTCACAAACTAATACTTTTATATCTTTTCAGTATCTTATCATTATTATTTTGCGTCGTATTTATTCCATAATCGATTAGAAGAATAAACTCGTATTTGTTGTGTATGTGAATACGATTCAATTTAATAATTTCTACAATGCAGAAACTGCAGTGCATCGTCGTGTCCTTGCTGACACATGTCCAAGAGAATCTATAATTCAAAAAAAATATAAAACTATATTTAAAAATAAAAACTATATTTAAAAATATAAAACTATATTTTTATGTTATACATAATTCAAACATTTTTACATTATATATTAATAATTGGTCTAACTAATGTTTTTTCTTTTTACCTCTATTTTAGGTGGCAAGAATGCCTGAATAAGTCTATGTATATTTTTCTGAGAAAGTTCTACACTCATATTAGAGACAAAGATCTGGAAAATATACAGTTGCATTAATAATATAAACGAGGGATAAATTAAAAGTCACCGAGCTAAATCAGCAATTTAATTTGTTCGTATCATCATTAATCTTATTATCTTCTTTGAAGAAATAGATCTATGCCCAGTGTTTGCTGTTATCTAATAAAATATATATATCATCTAGATAAAATTTGGAGTTATCTTGTCTTTATATATAATAAAATATATATCTCTATAGCTGTGTGTGTGTGTGTGTGTGTGTGTGTGTGCATTTAGATGATAAAAAGTGTAATTTTGATTAAATTATCTAGAATAATGTTTAGATAATTTGGTTTAAAGTCATAGGACACAAAAATATTTAAATAGTAGAACTAAGTATAGTAAGCGATAAAAACTTATAAATAAAAGTATGAATATATTTTTATATCCTTTTATAATTTACTTTTCTTTTATAACATAGTTTATAAAAAATAAGTGATCTTTAAAATAATATTATCTGGAAGTTATCTAGATAAATCGTATATAATTTTATTTTTTATCCACATAGATATATTTAATCATCTTCTTTTTATCTAAGATAAATTTCTATATTTTTTATCTTATCTTTATCTAGCTAATTTTAAATCAATTATATCCGCAAAAGACACAAATAATAAACGTACATCAAAAGGTGAGCCGAAAAGTCTCTAGGACAAATATCGTTTTCTCCGCAAAATGGAGATATAGTAATTGTATCTTCATCGAATAGAAAAAGATTGTTGCTTAAAGCACGTCCATGTATCTAATGTCGCGATATTTTGGTGGCAAGTAACCAGAAAATATTGGCACAAACGAAGTAGCTAGTAAAGCCTATAGAAAAAAAGTAATATTTTAATATTCAAAATGGTACAAAAATTTTAGATATAAATCGTTTTTCTAAGGCTGTTATATTGGATCCTCGACGCGCGGCGCGCGGCCATGTTGGATTGTGATGTCAGAAATAAGAAAGCACACACAAAAATTTTTGCGTGCCAGTTTTAGGTAAAATAATGTTTCGATGAAAAATTATTTTAGATAGCATTAAACACTTTTAAAATAACTCGAAAACTACATATCCTTTCTTTTATAATTAATCAATAGCTGTAAAATGATTCTAATATATGATATATTTCCTCAAATTATGAAAAAATACTGATACATAAATAGTGCAAAAATTTAGGGATATAAATGCCTTATTTTTTGAGAGAAAGAGTTTTATTACAATTAATGTAAAAACAATTAATGTAAAATTAAAAAAAAATAAATATGCAATAAATAATTTGCAATCATAAAATTTCCTCCAATAATAAAGAATGAAACGTAGTGTGTCGAGTTATTTTCAATAAATAAATAGCCAGTTTTTGGTCGAATTAAATTGTAGCTTATTATAAAGAATGACGTTTTATTCTTGTTACTATAGTAATATATATTTCGTCTATAGTAATTTATTTCTTGTATTAATATCTAATATGCCAATTTTGATCTTCGATTATAAATATAATAACAACGCGACTTATATAAATGATATAAGCCTAAATTTGTTTACTTGTATTAAGTCCTCCTTGAATCGAATTGTGAGATGATGACATTCTTCATATCATATACTCTAGTCAAAGAAATATGTAGTTTACCATTTACACGAATGTGAGCGTCATCCGGAAGAAGCTAGAATGACAACAAAATTTTGCATTTATTTTGCATTACATTGTGATATGAAAGAGATTTCAATAATCTAATTTATAAATACATACTATATATTTTATCGATATGTAAAATTCTGAGAGAGAATGTATATATAAGTGTTTATATACTTATGTACATATTCGCCTTTTTACGTTCTAATAAATTTCGAGTATGGTTTTTTCTCAGAAATTGCAAAATTTCAAAATACATATATTAATAATAATAGCCGAAAAAATTATTTTACAAATTTTGACTAAAAAGTTCTGCTGAGAAACAGCCGTGAGATTTAACATTTAACTATTTGTAATAATAAATATATTTTATTGTCATTTTTTTGTTCTACTCACCTTCTGCAAAACTCCATATCATGTGTTGTATATTAAAATATGGACTAAAGGATCTTAGTACGTTTTTTCGCGCTGTACGTGCTATGTGTAATATAGCGTTAATACTATCTTCTAAAACGAGAAAACAGAAAATAAAATATCATTATTTTATATTTGACACATTATAGAGATGACACAATATTTACAGCTCCTTGGTACTCGCTGGAGCCACGTTGGACGTCAGAGACGAGAAAATATACATTAAACATTTTCGCGTGCCATTTTTGGATAACTAGATAACACAAGCGCACGCCAAACAAATTTTTACTCCGCGAGTGTACATAATTTCAATTATGTATATAACTTTTAATTTCCGAATTTTTATTATATACATAATTTTAATTCGCCGAATTTCTATTATGCACATAATTTTAATTTTTTATTTTTTATTATGTACATAATTTTAATTCCCGAATTTCTATTATGTATATAATTTGGATTCTCAAATTTCTATTACGTACATAATTTTAATTCATTGAATTTCTATTATGTACATAATTTTAATTCACCGAATTTCTATACATAATTTTAATTACGTCTATGAAATGATCCTTAGTTTGATAATTAAAAATATATAAAAATCACGTGTGCTAACCTAAGTTACTGTATATATATCCGAGAACTTGAAATTTGAAGAAAATTTATTATTGCTTTTAATGACTGAAACTAATTAAAAAATGCAAAATCGGGCTTCAAAATATGGGAATACATCAATAAAATGATTCTCAGTTTAATAAAAAAATTTTCGAAAAACACGTTTCAATATCTATAATATAATATACATAAATCGTGATCTAAAATTTGGAAAAATTAATTATCGCTTTAATGACTGAAATTAATTAAAAAATGTTGTAGAACTCATCGAAAACTTCTACTAACTAAATTCATTGGTTTAAATTTGAAAAATGACATAATATGCTAACTTGGCTAAAAGTTGGCATATTATTTCATTTTTCTAAATTTAAGCAATACAATTTTATAGTTTTCGACAAGTTCTATAGTTCTATAGTATAGTTCCGATCGTAGACTGTTACTAAATAAATATTAACCCAAAAAACTCGCATTTTCGAATATATAGGGATGATATCCTGGCTGTATGTCGATTATAATTCAAGCATTTTGATTATTGTAAATTGTAAACTAATCTTCGTACACTCCTACGCACGTACATCGATTATCCAAAGAGTTCTGTCAAGTACAAGGTAAAGAATTGCATTATATATATATATATATTTATATATATATATACATATATGTATAATTATATACGTAACATATATGAAAATAATGTTATCGGTTTGAGCCGATAAGCGATAAACGGTTTAGAAATTATTTTTTAAACGATAATTTTCTCATTGAAATAGACGTTAAAAACTTTAATGTAACTTGTCGTTAAAAGTATGTATTTTAAAGACGAATAGAGATACGATATTGAAGTAAGTATAATAGACACACGGAAAAAATGGAATTGTTTTTAGTCAGCATAGTTATAATTTTAAAGGATACAATTTTTAGTATACTCATATAAAATAAACTGTGTTTTATTATTATCTTAGTGATGCAAATTATTAAGACTGCAACATGAGTTTGAAAAAATATACAATACATTTTTTATAAAAATGCTGCAGTTATATGTTATATTATTAAATAGTTGAAGATGTTTCTATTTATGCAAGCTTCTTACCAAAATTATTTTTTACGGTAATTAGACTAGGATGTTTACTCAAATTTTCTAAAAAAAATTCTCTAAGAATTTTTTATTTTCTAGGTATTTTTGTTTAAATAATTTTAAAGGTAAAATAAAAAAATTTGTAGATGCAGTTTTCTAAAACATCTTTTTATTTTATTTTACGTGCTTTTTAATCTTTTCTATCTATATATTATTGCAAAAAAGAAAAAGAATACTTTATTAAAGTGTTTCGAAAAGCTCTTGAAATGCAAGAATATGCATTAAAAAATAGAGATTTTTATTTAAAAAAATGCATCTGATTATGTGATCTTTAAACGACTATCCAAAGTCAAGTCAATGACACCATCTTATGTCAGAAACCCTCAAAGTCAAAAAAAAATTTTGTATCAAACATTTTCCCGTATCACAAAGTAAGAATGATATCGACAGTCTGGCCAATAATTTTCTTTTTTTTTAAAAGGATAAATAATTTTAACGACCAATACTGGCTAATAAATATTTAATAATCAACACAACATTTCGACCATGGGTTTTGGTTCTTACCAAGTGTACTTAAAATTAAAAACCGTATACGTGTTGTACTAGTATGTCAAAAGTTTTGTTTGCACAGTAGTATAAGACTGGCCAATCACAGCCGTTCCATTCTTCAGGGGAATGGTTGTGATTGACCAGTTTTTACAACTATATGGATGTTATTAAATATGATTAAGGGTGCCGTGTATTTGACCTTAATGAAGTTCTTTATTCCGAAGTGTTACGTTTCGACCTCCAACTCGGGTCCTCTTCAAACTAAATACATAAAATATTAAATATAAATTAAAAACGAAGAGATAACTTAAAACACTAATATTATTCTAATAACATTTATGATTTTTTTTATTATTGTTAGTTTTTTGTATTATTATTTTTTATTATGGATTATCGTAGTTGGAAGTGTTATTAGAATATATTAGTGTTTTAAATTATCTCTTTGTTTTTAATTTATATTTAATATTTTATGTATTTAGTCTGAAGAGGACCCAAGTTGAGGGTCGAAACGTAACACGTCGGAATAAAGAACTTCATTATTGGCCAGACTGTCGATATTCATTATCATCTTGTTTTAGCATCATTGGCGATAGAATCATATTTCTTATTTTTCCGTATCTTCTATATTTTTTGAGATATTTGCTTCGCTCATAAAAATAAAATTAAAAAAATATAAAACAAAAAATGATTTGTTATAAACGTCTTAAAGAGTACTATTTAAATATGATTTAAAAATTGAGCAATTTTCTATTAAACTTACAAACGATCTATTTGATACTAAAAGGAAACTATATAAAAAAATTACAAATAATAAGATTTAATAAAAACTTAAAAATACTGCAAATATGTCAAAAACATATCTTTCTCAAATGCTAAGAGTAAGAATAAAATTATCAAAAAGACACATTTTTTGACACAATTCCCCGACTGTTAATAAAATTCCACGAAATTTTTCGAGGTAAAAAAATTACTAACACCCCCGATTTTCCCGCTTTTATCATATGTAATAGATTGCACTCTATTGGGACTTTTTTATTTTTAATGATAATCTCTATACATTCAATTCGGCTAATTTTTATCGAAAAATATTGTTTTTATTTTTTCAACATTTCTAAAACTCAAAACAGGTATAACGTATAACTCACCAAAAGATACATCGCAAATCATGAAACACGCGGTCATAGCACCTGAGGACGCACCGACTATTTTGTTCAGCAAATACGGTACGTATTTTTTCAAAACAATCCCTACGCCGATATAATAGATGCAGAGAAAACCGCAACCGGCGAACGACAGATTCATCATGTCAGCCTCGTTATTTCGTCTCAATGATGGATAATGCTGCCCCTTTCGCTTTTGAATCATTTTTTTCTTTCCTTTTTTTCCTTCTTTTATTCGTAAAGGATGAAATTATCGTAAACTATGTCACACATTCGAAACAAATTAAATCCATTAAAAACGAATCCGCGCCAATCCGCGAGGAAGACGATCAGCTGTCACTTTCGTGCGCTTCCTTCTTCGAAGCGCGTATGAGAATAAGAGTACCTTCGGTTCGCTCTAGAAGGTATGTGCGTATGTAATACATCACTGAAAAACGAATAACACTTATTTTGACGCGTAAAAAATATACGTGCTATTACAGCACGGGTAGCAAGCATATGCCATGTTGACATCGAATGACGTCATTAGACGTCAAAATGACATCGTTTTGACATTTAATGACGTCAGTTTGCTATTTTCCAAATAGCAAACATATACTTCATTTTAAAGTCGAATAACGTTGTTCAACGCCTAATGACGTCATTAAACATCAAAATGACATTATTGACATTTAATGACGTCAATTTGATACTTCTCAAGAAGCAAGCATATACGTCATTTTGACGCCGAATGGCGTCATTAGAAGTCAAAATGACATCATTTTGACATTTAATGACATTAGTTTGCTATTTGATCGATAACTTGCTGTCAATTTGCAAGAGCAATAATTATTATAAAGTTCTTATAAAGTTTTAGAATAGCTCTTGAACAGAAAAGAAGCAATATTGCGAAATTTTTCAAAAAAGAATTAAGATAAACACGAATTTTCACATTTCAATATCGTAATACTACAATATATTTTACTCAAATATATAGTAAATTTAAGATTGTGCTTCTACCAATTGAATTTTTCCGTTATAATATATTATTTTGTGCATTATTTAAAATAGAAGCTTTTAAAATAAAAAATGCTTATTTTGTATTTTGCAGTTGAAATACACTTTTTTATCAATAATTTTATTATTTTTCATTTAAATGCTTTTAATTGTTCCATCAAATGCATTTTCTTGCAAACAAAAAATTAATCGAAATAATAATATAGTAAAATATCTTACAATATTCTATTTATATATATACTTGATATTGTTATCAGACAATCACTCGCCATCAATGTACAATAAAATTATTTCTGGCACAATCTTGCTTTAAACATTAAATTAGTTTAGAAAGGACTCATTTATTGTACATACTCACTTATATATACGTTATATTTTATATTACAATGTAATAAATAATCCAGGTATTTTTATTGATCTATTATTCTCTTTTTATATTTGTGATTAAAAAATAAATTATTATCAATAATATTCTTAATTTATCTATTGAGAAGGAAACGAGAGTATGATATCGTTTCATAAAAGCGACATCGACACATCAGAGAGTATTATATTTTATTTAATTATACATGCGAAAAATTTTTTTTAATTAAAATTTATTTTATTATAAAAATTTTTTTAATATTTCAAAAGAAAATATTCTTTCGCGAAACTACTTATATGTCTCCAGTAACTTATCATTATTATTTCGCGTCATATTCCATTATCAGTTACAATGTACTCTATATTGTTTATGTGAGAGTAAATATATCGATTCATTTTAATAAATTTCTACGACGCAGGAACTGTAGTGCATCATCGCGTCCTTGCCAACCAATTTTCGTGAGCATCTATAATTAAAAAGTAAAGTTTAAAATTATACTTCTGTTACACATAATTCAGACATTTTTACATCGTATTAACAAAAAAAAAAATATATATATATATATATATATATATATACACATATATGTCCCAGAATTGATAATAGAAAAAAATAGGTATATTCTACAAGTCAAAAGAAAGTAAAATTGTCCTATAAACATATGTTCGGAAACGCACTTCCTCTGAGCTATACCCCTTCAAAGTTTTCCCAAAAAACTCGAATTTTCGGTATATTGTCTAAACTTGGACTTAGAATTTTATGATAATTAGTACATACATATTTCCTTGTGCATTTTATTCATTTTTGTTGTCAAAAATTGTCTATAAAATTTCGAAGAGGGTTTTGAGGGGGATGCTACATTTCAATATGATAAAACTTATGTGTGGATACAATAAATTTGAAATACGTTAACAGTTTATGGCGGAAAATACAAAAATAAGCATTTTTTGACTCTGATTTTTTTATACGACAAATTGTTTTTGAGATAATCGACCTAACAATAAATGTAGTTCGCGCACAGAGCATTATCCGCTCAATTTTTGACAATAAAAATGAATAAAACGCACAAGAAAATATGTATGTACCAATATAAAATTTTACGTCCCAGTTTAGACAATATACGGAAAATTCAAGTTTTTGTTTAGAAAACTTTGGAGGGGTGTAGCTCAGAGGGGGTGCGGTTCCAGACATATGTTAATAGGACAAGTTTACCTTCTTTTGACTTGTAGAATATATCTATTTTTTCTACTATCAATTCTAGGACACCCTGTATATAACTAATTTTTTTTTTATTTACCTCTATTTTAGGCGGCAAAAATGCCCGAATGATTCTATATGCATTTTGCGCAGAAAGTTCTACACTCATATTTGTAACATTGAACTGCAAAATATACAGATGCATTAATAACATAAATGAGTGATAAATACAAAAAATTTTTAAATTACAAACTTTAAATTAAAAAATTTTTAAATTAAAAATTATCAGTAGGTATACTGATACATAAAATGTTGCAAAAATTTTAAATATGATGGTCTTCTTGATATAAAAGATTATTACAATTTAAAAAAAAATCAATTTGCACCTATACAGTTTTCTTTAAATAGATTTACCTTTCACTCTTGCTATTTTGAGCTATCAGTAGGCGTACGTTCATAAATTTAATTTATACGTACTATTATTAAAATTTTTAATTTTTTAGCAAAAAAACAGGGTTGGGTAATATTAGTTAAAAGTTAGAAAAAAGTTAAAAAGTTAATAACTTTTAACTTGATTTTTTGTTCATGCAACTTTTAATTTAATAAAATTAATTTTATGAGCTAACTTAATTGAGTTTAAAAAAATAATTAACTTACTCAACCCTGCAAAAAAATATAGCCATGTAATTATATCCACGAAAGACACGAGGAATAAACGTACGTGAAAAGGGTGAAGCGAGGAGTCTCTAGGGCAAATATCGCTCTCTCCGCAAAATGGAGCTACAGTAATTGTATCTTCATCGAACATGGGAAGATTATCACTGAAACCACCGTCCATGTACCTGATGCCGTGATATTTTGGTGGCAGGTAACCAGAAAACACTGGTACAAACGAAGCAGCTAGTAGAGCCTGTATAAAAAAATATTTTAGTATATAAAATAGTACTAAAATTTTAGATATAAACAGTCTTTTTAAGAGAAAAGATTGTTACAGTAAATTCAATTTAAAAAAATCGATTAATAATTATGATAAAATTTTTCTCGAATAATGAGAGATAAAATGTTGCAAAAATTTTGAATATGATGATCTTGATATAAAAAATAGTTACAATTTATATTTAAAAAAAATCAATTTGCACCTATAAAGTTTTTTTTAAATAGATTTACCTTTCACTTTTGCTATTATATAGTAACATTTCATTTTAATTTGAACAAAAATGATGCATTTTTGCATTAATCTAATATGCCAATTTTTATCTTTGATTATAGAGATAATAATATCGCAATTTATATAAGTGATACAAAACTAAATTTTCTTACTTGTAATAAATCCTCTCTTGAATCGAATTGTGAGATAATGACATTCTTCCTATCATGTACTCTAGTCAAAGAAATATGTAGTTTACCATTTACACGAATGTGAGCATCATCCGGCAGAAGCTAGAATAACAACAAAATTTTGCATTTATTTTGCATTACATTGTGATAATAAAACAGATTTTCAATAATCTGATTTAAAAATAAATAGTATATTATCGATATATAACATTTTGAAAGAAAAAAATCTGCATTTGACTTTTCTCGTTTTTAATTTTTATCTCTCAATTTATTAGAAATTTCGAGTATTGTTTTTTTTCAGAAATAGCAAAATTATCAGAATGCATATATTAATAATAATAATTGAAAAATTTATTTTGCTAAATTTTAACTAAAAAATTCCAAAATAGCATCTAAGAATTTTTTTGTATTACAGGTGCAGGCAAAGTGGCACTTTGTGTGCGTGTTTTCTGTGCGGAAAGCGGCCGATTTCCCACGCCATCTAGCGGCGACGCGGTGAGTGAATAAGCCGCATTCAAAGCCATTGCCTACAGCTGAGGCGCGTTCAAAGTCATTGCCCACGGCTATTCCCGCACCGTGCCGCCGCAAGATGGCGGCGTGCGATCGGCCACCTCGCGCACAAAGCCACTTTGCCTGCACTTGTAATACAAAATAGTATGTGTATCACGTGCGGATTGACAATTGTTCACTCGTGTGGGGTGGTCGCACTCGCCTTCGGCTCGTGCATCCATCCCCCACACTCGTGACCAATTGTCAACTTTCCGCACTTGATACACAATATACTATTACAAAATTTGAGTAGAAAATTCCGCTAAGAAACAGCTGTGAGATTTAACTATTTGCAATAAGTATATATTATTTTTGCAATGCCTGTCGCAAAAGTTCGATTTTCGATTGCTGTTTAGTGTGCGGAAAATGGCTTATATTTCTCAACGATTCAATGTATGCCTTTACTTTACCGCACTAATGCGAGAAAAGCACCTTTTATGATTTATTTTACCGCACTAGTGCAGAACAAACATTTTTTCTTAAGGGGATGCTGGAGTGACTTGAGAAGTCAGTTGTTTTTTTCTTTCTTATCGACAAAATATGAGATTAAATAAATTATAAATCTATTTATTGGCTATACGGATTGTTTTTTACCTAAAATCAGAACGCTTCGCCCTTTGTTAATATTAATACTTTAATTTGTACAGGAGAAAGATTTATCAATCTGTTTCATATTTCTTGATTACAGATTTATGAATTCTTATTCTGTAATCAAGAAATGAGACTATACAGATTGATCTTTTGCCTGTACAAATTAAAGTATTAATATTAACAAAGGGCGAAGCGTTCTGTGGCGATAAATGCCACAAGAATATTAAAATATATAAAAAATAAAAAATGTACACGAAATAAAAATATATGACAAGCGACGAGTGTTAAGGATATCGCGACCGGTGACACAAAATAATAAATAAATAAATAAGCGTCTAGCATGACGAAGGTAGATTATGATTTCCGAATTGAATAAAAAGCGAAAGTCTTCAAAATAATGGATAGACTAATCACCTAAAAATAAAAATAAGGTCGTGGAAAAATCGAGAGAAGCAAGACGATACGCGGCGTGGAAGGACGATCTGAAGGCGACGGCGGCCGAGCTGGTATATGGAGAGACGCTCAGACTGCCAGGACAATTTTTGAATAAGCAGCCCGGCGAGGAGAGAGACGCCGGCAATTTCGTGAAGGAGTTGCGACGTCATTTCGAGGAGGTCCGGCCGATCGAGATCACGCAGCACGGAGAACGACGCCCGTTCGTATTCAAGCAGCTGGGAACCACGGAGAGTGTGTTTGTTCGGCACGACGGGCCGAAAACACAGTTGCAGATGCCATACGATGGGCCCTACACGGTGGTTCGACGCGGCGAAAAAACCTTTGTCGTGCGCATGCACGGCAAAGAGCAAACAATATCCATCGACCGTTTAAAACCAGCATATTTGATTTCAGAAAAACAGGCTAACGAAACGTCGCCGACGGCAAGGACTCCTGGAGACAAAGAAATGAGACTGGACCCGGAGCAGTCGAATAAGGCGCAGCCAGCAAAGGAAGGACGAGAGACACGAACAAGGAGCGGTCGAAGGGTCCGATTTCCGGACCGATATGCGATGTAACGCGGCGTGTCGGACAAAATTTTTTAATTTATATTGTTATTTATTTATTTATTTTTTTATTATCTCTCCACGCGAGATTTTACATTGACGCGGTGACTAATGACGACTCGAATCGACGAATAGGCGGTGATTAAATAATTGTGCATCAACACGCGGTAAAAATTAGAAAACCACTAGAAGGGGGGTACTGTGGCGATAAATGCCACAAGAATATTAAAATATATAAAAAAAAAAAAATGTACACGAAATAAAAATATATGACAAGCGACGAGTGTTAAGGATATCGCGACCGGTGACACAAAATAATAAATAAATAAATAAGCGTCTAGCATGACGAAGGTAGATTATGATTTCCGAATAGAATAAAAAGCGAAAGTCTTCAAAATAATGGATAGACTAATCACCTAAAAATAAAAATAAGGTCGTGGAAAAATCGAGAGAAGCAAGACGATACGCGGCCTCGAAGGGCAGATAGATTTTGACTCGCGCTCGCGATACACGGTTTTCCTCGGTGGAGAGTAAAAGTCTGTATTTAATAATCCGAATAAACGCAGTAAAAGACAATATAATTATAACACCTATTAACTATTCCGTCTTAACGATCCTCTCCCGATTCGCGATATTGATAGAGCAATAATTAACGAACTAAGCTACACACGCTCGCCCAAAGTTCTAATTTTAGGTAAAAAACAATCCGTATAGCCAATAAAATAGATTTATAGTTTATTTAACCTCATATTTTGTCGATAAAGAAAAAACAACTGACTTCTCAAGTCACTCCAGCATCCTCTTAAGGGGATCCCTCAGCAAATGACGAACTCCGACAAAATAATAGCAGCACACATTTCCAAAACATATGGACGTATACACATACGTATGACTCGTATTTCTAATTACAAATTTTTATTAGACTTCTAATCTACGTTTAGAGGATAACAGTACTATAAAACATATCCACTTTGTATGAAAAAATTCGTACGTATGTGTGTGTGCGTGCGTTGTGTATACGTGCATATGTTTTGGATATGTGTATTGCTATTTATTGTCGGAGTTCGTCATTTGCTGAGAGATCCCCTTAATAATTAATTGGTTGATAGTTTTTGTTTTGTCATTTCTCGATTGACATAACAAACTTGAACATAACAACATTTACGCGAGACAAAGCGTCAATTCGTTATAATCTTCATTATTTAAGAATGATAAAATGGATAAAAGAAACGAATGTTCAAGACGGTTCACGCCGTTAGAACTTATATATAGAAGCAGCTAAATCTGCTATGAAGACTTTATTACCGAAGAAATCGAGAGATAAATACATGAGAATTTATGAAAAATTTATGGAATGGAGAGTATCAGAAAAATACAACCTTATTTTCGAAAAATATCTTAATAATATATTTGAATTTAATTTCAATTAATTCTTTATTCTCAAATCGAACTTTCGCGATAGGCATTACAATAGTATATTAACTAACAAGTGCGGGAAATCGTAAAGTTTGGCGCACGAGGCGAAGCCGAGCTCTCTCGCCGATTTGCGAACCGCACATGTCGGTCACGATATTTTGTGTGACCGGTGCGTGGAAAAGGAGCCCTTCCTAAAATCCCATCATGTGCGGAAAGGGCGACTTTCGCGCACCTGTTGCACAAAAAATATTATATGTGGCATGTGCGCAGGACAACGAACACATCGCGCGTGAAGTTGCCGCATAAGCCGAAGGCTTATGATGCATTCACACTTGTACTTGTGTGGTTACAGCACTCGTACTCGTGTCATTGCATCATAAGCCTTTGTTGTTTGAAAGACGTAGTTCGTTGTTTTCCGCGATTGCTACATAAGATACTATTTCAATTTTTTTACTACCCACCTTTTCCACGGTTTCCAACAAAACGAGTTGCAAATCGAAATGTGGAGTGAATGCTCCTAGTAGATGTTTTTGCGCTTCACGTGCTATATGTAATACACCGTTCATGGTATCTTCTGAAACGAAAAAGAAGATATTAAATCGTCATTATTTTATAATTGAGATTGTTAGAATATTCACGAATCATATTGATATTATATTAAGTGACACAATTGGCATTCAATTGTGAATAATTTTTATTTCACTAATTTAAATTTCACTAATGCACTAACACTAACTATATACAGGGTGTCACTTAAATATTGGCGCCCAATATTTATATAGCAATATTCCTTGTGGAAAACTGATTGTGAGTCGAAAAGTCCTGTACCATTTTTTTCTGTAAGGCATAATAAAGTAGTAATTATTCAGTAACGTATAATACGTTACTGAATAATTACTACTTTATTATGCCTTACAGAAAAAAATGGTACAGGACTTTTCGACTCAGTTTTCCACGAGGAATATTACTATATAAATATTGGGCGCCAATTAAGTGACACTCTGTATATTCCTGAAGATGATCCGATATAAAGACCCAAACGAAAGGATTGAATAAAACACTTTTTATTGGTTTCTTTAAATTTAAAAAAAATTCTTTGTGCACTTTTATTACCGTGCACTCTTAATTTGCCTTTATAGATATTTGTTTTTATACATATTTTATTTAAGAGAGCCTATTTTTCTCTCTTCCTTTTTTGTGAATAATTTATATTTTTTTAATAAGTGAAAAAATTGTTCACAATTTAACATATCGAAGATATTATATGAAATTATTATATCTAATTACATATAATTATATCTATATATATCTATAATTATATTTATATCAGTTTAGAACATAACAGTTTTACATATAATTATAAAACTATTGTTGTATTATTAGAAACACATTTATGTATATAATAGATACATATAGAGACTTCCTATATTTTGTAATATTCATAAAAAATTCTGACTAAATATTGTTAAAATATGTATATATGCATATATATATGTATATATATATATATATATATATATATATATATATATATATATAATTTAATGTCCAAAATATATGGTTGCAGTTTTATTAAGATTACAAAAAATCGAAAAATATAAATCCGATAAAACTCTATGATTTAATCTCTAATTCTAAATTTTTCTCATATTAAAATATTTTAAATTTTAATAAAATTAAAACAGAAGCAAATAAAATTTTATACTATACATTTTTTCCCATAAAATAAGGGCGCAAATTAAAATTTAAACTCCTGCAATCTCAATGTTTCAAAAAATAATTATAAAAAATAATTTAAAAAATTAAAAATTAAAATGGATTGAAAAGGCCAATTTGAGCTTAGACGCGATAAAATTAATACGTGAAACAATATTTAGTACATTTAAACTTTAAACAAATGATAGACCAAACTTTTCGATCCTCTTTGGATCCTTTTCAATAATTACAAGTGCAGAATATAATAAAAAATACACAAATGTATAAATAAACATATATGTATATGTAACAGGAAACATGACTTTAATACAAAGTTATCTTTCCAAAATGCACACTGAAAAAAAATTTGTTAACTTGACTAAATATTATTTTGTTAAATAAACAGAAAAATATTTAAATTAAATGTAATATATTAAATCTAACATGTATATTTAACTTAAATACTAATATATGCTCAATTAACGAAATAGTAATTGAAAGGTTTAGTCAAACTAACAAATCTTTTTTTTTTCAATACAGGTAAAAATCCCTATTATTAACGTTAAGGAAATGTAGTCAAATGAATAAAAATAATTATTTGAACAACAAATTAAAAATCTGTTGAATCAATAAATTTAAACAGACTATCTAATAACAATGAAAGTCAGTAAGACGTACGTCAAAAGATTAAATAAAACAGACACTAAATAAAAGTTATACAATAAGAGAAACATAAATACACGAAATTCAAGTTTGATGACCCCGAAAACATTTGTTGACAATTAGAAAATAATATATATTATATATATATATATATATATATATATATATAATTAATATTATTTATTAAATAATATATTATTAGAAAATCAGAAGAAGATAATTAGAAAACAATCCCACTACATATTTATGCCTTTATCTTAATGTTTCATATGTAACATTTCGGAAATCTGTCTCATGATTATATGAAACTGTTTCTTCGAAAAGAAAAAATACTTTACCCCCTTTTTTTTAACGTAATAGGAAAAATGATCATGTACTATATGTATGACATGTAATGTAACATATATGAAGATAATGTTATCAGTTTAAACCGATAAGCGCTATAAAGACGAGTTAGAAAAATTTCAAATGATAATTTTTTCTATTGAAGAGAAACCTTAATATAACTTGTAGTTAAAAAAAAAAGAAAAGAAATACGAGATCGAAGTGAGTATAATAGACACACGGAAATAATGAAATTATTTTTAGTCAGCATAGTTATAATTTGCTGCATAAATTATTTATAACTTAAAAGAGATTTATTAATGCAGCAAGGAGGCAATTATGAGCATGCTTATACGAAATAAACTCTGTTTTATTATCTTAGTGATGCAAATTATTTAACATAAAAATGACTGTATAAATATGAAAAAAATAAAATTCATTAATTTTAATTAAAAATTATGCTGCAGTTATATTACATATTAAGTAGTTGAAGATGTCTATATTTATTCAATCTTCTTACCGAAATAATTTTAATGATAATTAGATGAGGAAATGTCTATTCACACACACGCACGCACGCACACACAAATCATGTAAAAAAATTCCGTGAGAATTCTTTCATCTCCCATCCCAAGTATTTTTCATTTATTTGTAGCTTCTTAAAATAAGTTCTTTTCATTGTACGCACTTTTGAATTCTTTTTATTCGTGTGTACAATTGTAAAAAAAATTACCAAGAATGCAGCTATAGAAATGCTTTTTTAGCATTTAATATTGATTTGTTAATCGTACAATTAATTTGGACGATAACAATACAAGTTCAAAATATCACTGTATCTAAATGTTAAATATATTTGCAAAAATAAAATTATAAAAGATAAAACAAAAATAATTTATTATAAACGTGTTATAAGGAGTACGAAATTTGTTTAAATATTATTTAAAAATTAAACCATTTTTTAAGAAACTTATACACGATTTTAATACTAAAAAAAAGATCGCCAATAAAAAAAATCACAATCAATGAAATTTTAATAAAAATTTAAAAAGTGTAAAGATGTCGGACATATCTTTTTCAAATGCTAAGGGTAAGAATAAAATTATCAGACACAATTTTTGAGAATATTTTCTGAATGTCAATAAAATTCCTTCAGATTTTTCAAGATTTTTCAATTGCTTAAAAAATATTACCGACAGCTCCGATTTTCCCGCTTTTATCATGTATAGTAGCTTTCTTATTTTAAATGATAATTTCTATACATTCGATTTGTCTAAGTTTTACCGAAAAATATAATTTCTATTTTTTCAATTTTTCTAACTCAAAAGCAGATGTAACTTACCGAGGGATGCATCGCAAAGCAAGCAACATGCGGCTATAGCACCTGCGGACGCGCCGCTTATTTTATTCAACAAATGCGGCACGTGTTTTTTTAAACCGATCGCCACCCCGACATGATAGATGCCCAGGAAGCCGCCACCGGCGAACGAAAAATTCATCCTGTCATTATTTAGTCGCAATAACGGATAATGCTGTTTCTTTCGCTTTTGTAGTTGTTTACTTTTTTCTCTTACCTCCTTTTCGCGAAGTATCTTATTATTCTAAAAAAAAAATAATAATAATAATATAATAATAATTTATTTTTAGAACGAGATTATCGCGAATTATGTCACAAATTCGAAACAGCTAAAATTCACTAGGGACGAATCCGCGGGAGAGGATGATCATCTGTCACCTGTCAGCTGTTAGCTGTCACTTGTCACTTTCGCGCGCTTTCTTCTTCGAAGCGCGTCAGAGGAGAGCACAGCACCTTCTCGAAGAGTGCTCTCTGTCTCTTCCCCAGGTACTAGTTCACTCTAGAAGCTACATTCGCTGACTAAAAGATTGTCCGTCGAAAATGACATTGCTGAAATATATGAATTTCAGTAATGTTTTATTATCATTTCTATATACATATATCAACATATTTGACTTTGCTATTTTTTTGTATCTCGATCTCTATTCTTATAATAAAACGTAAGGTGCGTCGTATCCATTGCTTATCTTTTTAAATAAGATCTACGTTTCGGAAACTGATCTTGACAAAAGCGGACAGCCTTTTATGTACGGTACATCACTCGAATGCGAATGACACTTTTGAAATGCAAATATATATATGCACGTGCTATGATAGGCGATCATGTGCTCTTAACGTGCGAGAGCAACAGTCATTCGTAATAAAGTTCTTCGTAACCTCTTATTAGGATCTTGAACGGAGAGGGAGCAGTGAAATGATTAAAAAATTAAGATAAGCGCGAGTCTCATTATCGTAATTAATACTATTATTTCGCTTACATATAGTAAATATAAGATATTGTTTCTGTCAAATTAAATGTTTTCCTTTTTAATATTATTATATATATATATATATATATATATATATATATATCCGATGTCCGACGAAACCTCGTTGCTTGTGTTAACTTTGTCCTCCATCTTATTTTATCATGAGTTTTGCGTATACAAAACTCGAGTATAATCACAAAACGATATCTATCTCTCTCTCTGTCTCTCTCTTTCTCAATATCCTACGAAGTGCAGAATAGTCAGTTTATATACATATTATATATATATATATATATATATAATATGTATATAAACTGACTATTCTGCACTTCGTAGGATATTGAGAAAGAGAGAGACAGAGAAAGAGAGAGAGAATTAATTAATTAAAAGTTAAAAAGTTAATAACCTTTAACTTAGCTTAGTTAATTTAAAATGTATTAATTTTTAACTTCAACTATAGTTATTTTTGACCTTATACTTATTAACTTTTTCCCAAGTTAAACTTTTTTTTTATCTGTGAATATCATTATTGTTTTTTTATGGAATTATAAACGTATTATTTTTAATTTGAAATATTATTAATTTTTATGTTTATTTGTTATTAATCGTAATTACCAAAAAACATAATTCTATATAAAAATCAAAATTTCTTTGTCATTTGTCATAAATTTTAAAATAATTAACAAACAATAACATTTTAATTTAATATAAATAATGTTTTTAAAAATTAACTTTTTAGATTATTAATGTTATAAGCAACTATAACTTTAACTTAACTTGTTAATTTATAACAAGTTATTAACTCACCCAACCCTGATATATGTATTACTTTTGTGCATTCTTTGAAATAGATTTATTTGAAATAAAAGTACAAAAAATACAAAAATGTAAAATGTCTATATTTTTATGGATTTTGCGATTAATAAAAAACTTTTCAAAAAATTGTTTTATATTTAAAATAATTTTATTACCCTATCAAATGCAATTTTTCTTGCAAACTGAAAATTACTGGATTAAAAATAATTAGGGTTGAGTATATAGTTAATTTGTTAAAAAGTAAATTCTTTTTTCAAATTAAGTTAAAGTTAATGGCTTAAAAAATTAATTTAGTTACGTTAAAAGTTGCATAAACAAAAAAATAACTCAGTTAAAGTTGAGTTAATGTTAAATCAAAAATTAAGTTAAATCAAAAGTTAATTTTAATTTAAAAATGTGTTAAAATATTATTTATTTTAAATTTTAAAAAATAACATACTTAACTTAAAAATTTTTAAATTTAATATTTTATTTAATTTCTTTAAATTTATATAAAATATAACAAATAACAAAAAAAGTATAGTTTGTAGCAAAAAATATATAAAAAATTATATTATTTATTATACTTATAAAATAATCATCTCCAATTTTTAATAAACTTTTCATGTATTTCTACATCATTCATGATAAATAAAAAAAAATCCTTTAAATAACTTATTATCTTTCTACAGTTATATATATAGCGTTTTCACATTTACCATTATACAAAACAGAATTAATTTTATTATTATTAATTATTTATTATTATTTTATTTTATTAAGGCTCCTAAACTTCTGGCTGCCGACATCAGAGGCGATAAAATACACGCTGAAAATTTTTGCGTGCCATTTTTAGATAAAGATAGATTAATTGATGATAATTAATTTTATTACAGTCTTGTTTTGTTTGTATTTATTTTGCTTATTCTATGTATAGATTATAGATAAAATACACAAATAAAATACCCGTACCGACATTCACATCATCAATAATGATATAAGATTTTATTCATAAAGGTTTTATATTAGTTACTAAAAAAATTTTGTACAAAAATCGACATTATTTTACAATACTTCTTCATCTAAATCTTCTGTAAATTAACAAACAGAAAAACTATACTTGTGATCAAATCATATTTAATCCAACTTTTGCGATATATATACATGTATATAAATTAAAAATTTAATTAAAAAAATATTAAATTTTATAACATTAAATATCGTTAAAAGACGGCTCAACCAAATGAAATAATAACTAAGAACGATCAAACTCGCTGTGAGCCACGAAATTTGCTTAGACAGTGCTAAGACATATTAAGGGACAACCTCGTATTAAATTTTATTATTATTTTAAATTAATGTCTAAAAAATATATTTGCACTTAGGATAATTTTATGTCGTAAAAAGAATATAGAGGTATCGTCATGCAAAATAAAAATATATTAATATCTTATTCGGATAAAAGTACTTTATTTAAAAAAATACTTTATTCGAATAAAAGCAATAGGAACATTTGACGACTCTTTTTCCTTTTTCGAATATTTCGAATATTCTTTACTATTTCTAATAAAATTATTCCCAAAAGGAAAAGAGACAAGTTTTTCCATTCATTATGCATTCCCCAATATTCTTATAAAAGCGAAATGACTAAAAATAATAAATCACAATCATATTCTTAATATTTAAATATATATAAAATATCATTAATATATCACAATTAAAAATTAAACTGGTAATGTGAACAATAATTACTAAATTATATTCTGTAACTAGTATATAATATAAAAAATATATTGTATACAACAGCTTTAACATATTCAGACCCAGCCATTATGTAATCACAAAATTTTGTTTTCCTGTAATTCACTATAAATAATTTGTAACTTTAAATATTCTTCAACTATTCTGAAGAATAATAAAATTGTTTTATAATAATTATTACTATTAATTCTAAGAGAAAAATATAAAATAAGAAATTTCATAATAATTAATCCTATTAAGAAAATCATAATAGAGTATGACAAAAGTACAGAATATATTCTAATCATATCCTAAAAAAAACTAAACTATATTCTAAAATATATCCTAAAACATCCTAAAATGTTATGTTCCAATTATTATTACAATCCAGATGCATATTTTGAAAGTTTCATAAATAGTAGCAAAATTATACAACAAAAAGATATTGTTGCAAATTATTCACGATATAAAAAAATTACTAACAATTTTTTAAGGATAGTATTTATCAAAATAAACGTGTTTACTTTGATAATATATAAGAATTATAGCATAAAGTTTTAAACATGTTTCTTAAAAGAAACGTATTCAAACGAGTATAAAATTAATAACTAACTGAATATTGTATATGAATTGTAGATAAAACTTATAATTGTCTAGAAAAAAATAGCTAGTTTTATAGTGTCAAAAGTTTAAGTTTTTCAAATATTTGTTACTTCTTTAACATGACAAAAATTTGAAAGTAATACATATATAACATATCATCAAATATGCTTTTAATTACAAACTAAATAAAAGAAAATCTTTCCTTAGAATCAAGAACAATCAGTTATTATAAAGAGGGATCATTATATAAAAACATTACGTCTTAAAGTTCACTAGGGAATGTAATTTTCTACCTCTTTTCTCCTCTTAATTTTAGTCTTAATTTAACAAAAATCAATTTTCTTTCATCGTGATTGTCAAAAATTCTACAATTACTTCGATATTTGTCGAAGAAAAATTGCTTCCGGGCGAAATTTCTTCGAAAAAATCGTAGTTAAAATATATCGACGATTTTAGTATACTATCTTTAATCACCAATACATCAGTCTTTTTATGTAAGATTTATAAAACTTACGCAACCGTTTATTTAAAAAAAAAAAATTTTTTTAATCCGAGTTAACAAACTTGAATTACAATAGAATACTGTTGTATCTTATACTCTAACTACACTTAAAAGTGGTGACATTACTAACACGTATATAATATTATACAACTATGTGTTTATACGCATCCAACAGCTTTATCTCAATTATATCTTGCAATTCTTTCCTCTTGCAAGAATAATATAAGTTGCCATAAAGTAATGTTTTTAAGACTCCTGTGTTGAACTCAGGAGCCTTAAAAAAACCTGCACTTTCAATTATTATTATTCTATATATATGATAATAATAACAGGCTACTAGAGAGGAATTTTTATAACAAATTTGTGGATGGTTGATCTACTTCCGGACGGCTGTCTGGAGACTTGGGCATTTCCGCTTGCTCTTTCTCTATTTCCCATTCACTTTCCGGATCAGAAAATATATTTGCGTTATCCATTATCTCATCTTCCAACGATAGATCTGACAAATTTTCCATATTTTGTTGGTCCCCTTCGGTATAAAGAGATCCTGCATTCGCTGCAATAAACATTTACACATTTAATACTCAATTTTGTTATAATCAATTTCCTTATTCCCACTTTTTCTTTACTCAAGAATTTTCTATACTAATTCAATTGTATCTGTCTTCCATTTTTAAAAATTTATTTCTATTTTTTACGACTTTGGATGAGCTTCCAGTTTACAATTAAAGTTACAAATCAAATAAAATAAAATTGGAAGTTTTTTATCATTCTCAAATAAAAATTAAAATTAAAAATAAAATTAAAAATAAATAAATAAAATTAAATAACGTTGCAACTGAAATTGAAATTAAAAGATTGAAAATTGAAATTAAAATTAATTTATAATATAATATTAAATAATAATTATATTAAAAGAAATAAAAGAATTTAAATATAAGAAATAAAAAAAATAAATAGTAAGAGAAACATATAAATAATAAAAATAAGAATTTAAATATATAAATATAAAGATATAAATATATACATGTTTAAAAAAATGTTTTGATTAAGAAACTTAAAAAATTCCAATTTTTCATTTCTTATCAATTAATACAAAGTTTCGCTCGTATATTGTAAATACAACTAGTGATAGATAAAAAAGGCCAACTTATCGAGCAATTATTAAAGTTGTTCTGTCAAATAAAATTTATTCCATGTATAAACTAAACATAAAACATTATGTGAAAGCTACATTATGTGAGTAGCTTTCACATAATGTTTTATGTTTAGTTTATACATGGAATAAATTTTATTTGACAGAACAACTCTAATAATTGCTCGATAAGTTGGCCTTTTTATCTATCACTAGTTCTATTTTTATTTCTTATTTTAAATGGATATTTAAAAGGCATTTTGCATTTTCGCAAATAGATTCGTATATCGATCTCGTAAGTTTTTTATTATATAAAAAAAATTCAAATAATTTACCATCGTTAAACGTATGTTGAGACAACCATGCAGGTTCATCCCAGTCGTCAAACTGGAGTCTTTTATTGGTATCGACTTCGTCTATGGAAAGCATAGCATGCGATTCTGAATCAGTTACATCGAAGATCTCCGTCACTTGCACTTTGTTGTTGTCATCCATATAATAATACGCTATTACAGCATCTTGTTCTGAACTTGTCTATATAAAAAGAGATTTATATATATAATCTTTTAATTTTAATCTTTTTAAAGGTTTATAATATATCTTTATTTTTTAAATGTTAATATTTTCAATATAATAACATATTTTATCGAAGAACGCTTACTTGGAAAATATTGTCGAAAGTATTATCCATTGTTTTTTGCATAACGTCACCCATATTTATTACACAACTTGATTTGCTCGGATCTATCCATGGTTGTTGCCTAAAAGCAGAATATTGTGTTAACACAGTGTGTGATGACATCATACATTATTTCAATTATTATCTTTGTTATTTACCTCTCGTTGTACTGAACAGTCAAATTCAGATTTTTTTGTTTTTTGTACAGTGTATCCACTTCATCTATAACCTGAACATTATATGCACCTGAAAAAGTTGGAAAATATTGATTAGTTGATTGAGAATTACCATCAATGTATAATAAATTAATTTATTTGCACTTTAAAGTCAAATTAACAAAAGAAGTTGACGTTACTAAGTTTTTCCTAGAAAACGATAATGTTTAAGATCATTTGAAAGTCACTTATGTAGTTACTTGCAAATTATACTTTTTCTTAAAAACAATTATGTTTGCACTAATTTATTTATCTCGTTATTTTGTGCATAAAAGCATTGAGGTAAGGTCGAGGAAAAAATATGAATATTTTATGAGATATTTCATATATATAGTTTATGTAAAATTATATGTTAAACTAAAGTATAAAATATCTCGTAAATTATTTATTTTATGGTTATCTTAGCCTTATAACTTTTTATAGTAAATATTGCGAAGAATCGATTTATATACTAAAAATTAATTCCATTAAAAAAAAACAAATGAACTTGAAAACCGCTCTTTTTAGAAAACCCAGTAGCGCCAATTTCTTTTCTTTTCGAAATCCTGCTACTCTTGTCTAACACACTTTTCTCTAAAATGTTCAAGAGATATTTGTGTGGATTTATTAAAATGGGACACCCTGTATATAATATTTAAAAAATCATATCTTAAAATTAAGTTATTTTCAAACCGCTGAAACTCGGCAAAAATAAAAAATTTATAAAATCACCGATTTTTCGCCGAGTTTTAGTGATTTAAAAATAGTTTAATTTTTAAGATATAAAAAAAGTGGTGCTTATTTTTTTTTTAAATAATGTGTATATAATACTTACTCGAATCATATTCCACGATGTTGAAATGACACTTGATAGTTTGAGGCAACGGCTGAATGTAGATGTTGATCTTTGGAAACATTATACTCAATTGTTCTAAGAAAAGTTTAGTTAATTCCACTATGTTACGTTTTAGCTTTGGTACACTCATAAGGAATCTGAGAAATAAAAAAAGATACATTTTTTCGTTAATTATACACGCGAATTGTTTTACAAGATGTCTACTTAAATCTTGTAAAAAAATTCTGAGAATTCTCTGAATATCCAGATATTTCATTAAAAATTCCAGGTAAAATAATAAAAATTATATATTTACGGCTTTTCAAAATAAATTTCTTTATTGTACGCGCTTTCCAATGATTGCAAAAAAGTCATCAGAATGCAGTTTTTCTAACATTTTAATATAGATTAATTGTAAAATTAATTTGAACAATAATAATAAAATAAAATATATCACTATATCTAAATTTGAACTAAAAATAGATATAAAAAAATAAAATAAAAATATAAAACAAAAAATAATGTATTATAAATGTCTTAAGGAATACTGGTTTATTTAAATATTATTTAAAAAACTGAACAATTCTGATGAAACTTATACAAGACCTTATTGGTATTAAAAAGAGATTATCAATAGAAAAAACACATAAAATTTTAATAAAAACTTTAATACAGAAAAATTATATTTAGCAAAAAAAATATTAACTTATCTCTTTACTATAAAAAAATATCATTTTTATGCTAAAAAATATAATTTTGCTATAAAAAAACCTGATATAAATTTTTGAAAAAAATTTCCCTAAATTGAATTCTTGAATTTTTTAGATAAAAAAATCCCTGACAATCTTTGATTTTTCTAGTAAACACCCTGATTTTAAAATATATTATTACTAATTATTAAAGCAAATCTCTCCCTTCCCGTCTGTGAAAATTTCCTATTTATGTACTTGGTTCAATGTTTATCTACATATATTTTTATTTGTTTAGGAAGGATAAACGAAAATAAGATTTCTATAATAATCGACAATAAGGACAAAATAATACATATTAAATATCTACGATTAAAAATAAAATTTCAGACAATAACATGCTCTTTTTTTAATGAAAAAGCTTTTGGCATGCTTACCGGCAGGATGTTAAATGCTTAGGGTGAGTAAAGGCTCGTTGAGGGATAAGTACATTTCCGATTATTTTGTATTCCAAAGTGCGAGTTTCTACTTTGTTACCAATGAGACTACCAAAACGACATGCATGATGTTAAACAATATCACAGGCAATATAATTATAGTTAATGAAATTTCACACCCTACTCGATCGAATATACGATATATAAAAAAATATATAAACATATGTATGTAAAACACCCTCCGTAGCTCATGCAGTAAAATAAAATCAAAATCAATGAATTTTTAAGTCAAAATCAACAATCAACATTTTATATATTATTTTCACATATATTATGCGTGCCTAATATAAATCATATTCCATAATGTTAAAATGACACTTAAATATTTTAAAGAATAAAATACGAAATTTAAATTGTTATGTTCTAATAAAAAATTAAAAAATATTAATTTAAAACAAATATTAATTCACTAAAACATATTTTTTGAACGAGAGATGACATGCAACGTCTCTTCCTAAATAATAATTAGAGACATTAAATCTAAAATTAATATATAATATTAGTTTACAATACAAATGAATATATAATATTAGTATACAATACACATTAATATAATATTATATAATATTAATTTACACAAGCATGTGCATTATTTTCAAATTAAATTGTTTTGTGTATGCGTTTGTAAAGCGGTGCATTTACATATATTTAAATAGTTGTACTTACTTTGTAATGGTGGCGTACATTACATCTGCCGGTAGGGTGTAGGGCAAACTCAATAACGATAAAAGTTTCATACTACGGTGTTTAAACAGCCAATTAACAAGTCCCTTATTGGCGGAGTCTATGGCATCTTGGAATATCGTCAGGACAGTCTCGGGCAAATTCGCTACTAATGCTTCCTATAAAAAATAATAATAATATACACTCTCTTATTTGTATACATACATATATGGTATAGTGTGTGTGTGTGTATGTAAAAATAAAATGTTGTTATAATGTAAAAATAAAATATCCAAAATATGAAAAGAAAAACTTAAGACTCCCGAGTCCTCACCGCGGTTGTTAGATTGTAACGTCAGAGGCGAAAAAGCATATGCTGAAAATTCTTGAATGCTATTTTTAAATAAACAGATATTTTGAAATGGCATCTAAGAATTTTTAGCGTGTATTTTCTCGCTTCTGACGTCACAATTCCAATATCACATCAGCGAAGAATCAGGTGTTTTAATTCCATCGCTAATTAATATATATGTAAAATTGAATTTAAATTTCGATATAAATAATGCGTATGCAGAATGAATATAATATTATTGATTAAGGAAAAATATTATTACAATACATCGCGAATCTTACCTGTCTATGCATCTTACATTCTACACATTCCGGATCGTATTCCATGCTATCGTCGATTGTTTCCTGAACTACATACGTCGATTGTACTGCGAGACACCTCGTGCAGTTTAGCATATTGTTACGATGTAAAAATCTCAACGCATCGTCGAATCCTTGTTTACACATACTGGAGAGAGTCTATAAAATTTAAAAAAAATACAAAATTACATCACATTTAAGATAATTGTATCAATATCAAAAAGGAGCAGTATTGTGCTTAGATGATCTTAAAATTAGCTAGATAAAGATGAGATAAAAATATAAAATAAAATAAAATATATAAAAAATGTAAATTTATCTTAGAGATGAAAATGATTTTGTTTTAAATATATCTAGAAAAAATAAAATTATATAGCGATTTATCTAGATCATTTTCAGATAATATTTTTTTAAAGATTGCTTATGTAAACACAGTTATAAACAAATGTGAATTATAAAGGGATATAAAAATATATGTATTCATATTTTTATTTATATATTTTTATCGCTTACTGCTTAAGTTTAATTATTTAAGAATTTTATTTACTACGATTCTAAACCAAAATTCAAAAATTATTCTAGATAATTTAGTAAAGATAATATTTTTCATCTAAGGTGCAAATATAAATAATACATATAAGATGATACCATCTAGATAATCATCTATATAATTTTATTTAGATAACAGTAAATATTGAAAAAAAGTAAGATAAGATTTTCCTTTTTACCTCCAGTTTAGGCGGAAAGAGGATCTTCGTGAACCTATATATGTTTTGTCTAGAGAGCTCTATGCTTGTGTTGGCGAGATTGACCTGCAAAGCACACAAACAAGCCATAATTAAAATAATTGTCGAAATCAAGTAGAGTTAAGCTCATTAACACCATTTTTTTAGCAGAGAATGATTTTATTAACGAGTACGTACGTGAAAAAGCTGAGATGAGATATCCCTAGGGCAGATATCGCTTTCTCCGCAGAATGGACTAACGGTGATTGTATTTTCGTCCAACGTAGGAAGATTATCGCTGAATCCACCGTCCATGTATCTAATACCGTGAAATCGCGGTGGCAGCAAACCGGAAAAGAACGGTACAAACGAAGTGGCTAGTAGAGCCTGTATAAAAAGAAAAAGAAAAGGTATTAGTATAGAGAATAATGCACACTTTTTTAATATAAACTTAAAAAAAAGATTGTTACAATTTATAAAAAAAATAATTTGCAATCATTACAAAATTTGACTCAAATAATAAAAAAAATATTAGAAAATAAAATGTTGCAAAAATTTTGTATATAAATGACCACCAAATAAAAAAAAAAAAAAGAATTGTTACGATTTATATAAAAAAGATGATTTATAATATAAAAAAAATAATTTGAAATCATTACAAAATTTTCCTCAAATAATAAGAAAAATATTAGAGAATAAAATGTTGCAAAAATTTTGGATATAAATGACCTCCCAAATAAAAAAGAATTATTACGATTTATATAAAAAAGATGATTTATAATAAAAAAAAATAATTTGCAATCATTACAAAATTTTCCTCAAATAATAAGAAAAATATTAGAGAATAAAAGTTGAAAAAATTATGGATATAAATGGTCTCCGAAAAAAAAAATTGTTACAATTTATATAAAAAGATGATTTATATATAATCATTTTAAAATTTTCCTCGAATAATAAAAACCTTTCGTTCTTGCTATTCTAGTAATATTTTGAACAAAAATGATAAATTTATCTTTTGCATTAATAATATGTTAATTTTGATGTTTAATTATAGAACAACATGAATTAGAAGAGTGATACAAAAAGCTAACAATAAGTTTTTCTTACCTGTAATAAATCTTCCCTTGAATTGTATTGTGAGACAATCACGTTTTTCCCGTCATACACTCTCGTCAGAGAAATGTGTAATTTGCCACTTACACGAATATGAGCATCGTCCGGTAGAAACTGAAATAAAAAAGCAGCATCCGTTTTGCATATCATTTTATCACAAGAGATTTGAATTATATTAGTTTATAACCAAAATTATTTTAAACCAGACAAAGTGTTTTTTTGAGATTTTTGGATGCCGCAAATAAAATTTCATTAGCACGTCAGATTTCCAAATGATTGCTAAAAATTGCACGCTAAAAATTCTTAGATGCCATTTCGAAATATCTTTTCATTTAAAAAGATTTTTCAGCGTGTGTTTTCTCACCTCTGACGTCACAATCTAACATGGTCTAAAAATGACTTTTTTACGATATTTGAAACCTTTTTATGAAAAAAGTTAACATTGTCTGGAAAATCAAGTCTGATCAAATATCTTAAATGTATATTGTTTTCTCAGTCTCTATAAAATGTATTTTGTAAACATAAATACAACATTATTTTTTCCAAAATTGATTTTACTATTATTTGTCTCCCTTTCGATTATATAATTTTTATTTAAAACATCTGTTTCGAAAAGTTCAAAATGGGCAATTAAAATGAGATCCTATATCAAGAGACACGGTAGTGTCTCGCGACCAGTTAAGGGCGTAGCCGAGACACCGTGTATCTTAACGCGAGTCGGACATTTGAGTCTTTATAATATTTCGAATTCTCAATAACGGCTGAAGCAATCGAGTTTATACTAGACTTAATCGATAGATTGAGTTTGAATTATATAATAAAAGTGTCTTTATTTTTGCTCTACGTGATTTGTAAGCAGAGATATATAATTGCAAAGTCGAAATATGAAAAATTTCTTTTAAGAAACGTCCCCGTCATCATTATTATCATCATCGACCACGCAAACATAGTAGTATCGTGCTACACGTATTCACACGTATACAACACATGCGCACACATATATTACACGTACACAACACATGAATAGATGCATGTATTGGAAATGTCCATCTCGCACGTTTTACAACAGACGGCGATAGTTGCCCTCCGCTATATTGACAGCGTGCGGGGTTAGATATTTTCAATTTTCAATTTCAATTTTTACATTCAATTTTAATGTTATTATTTGCAAATTTATTGTCATAATAATTTATGTGCAAGTTTACAGTCTGTGATACAAAATCAGATATTTTGCTATTATTTCAATAATATTTCAATTATATAAATGCCTATGTATGAGTATGCATATATTTTTAATAATTTTCTTAATTAGCTTCTATATTTTTTTCAGTTGTACATCAAGCAGGTAGCATTATCAGCTCACTTGTGAGCATGGGTTGGGCAATGGCTAGTTATCATCGCAGCATTCGATTAGCTTAACAAGATAAATCTAATATCAGTGCTATAGGAACTATTTTACAATTTTTCTGGCATTTTCTTATTGCAGGTACATATATATCCAATAATTAATATACAAAATTAAATATTATTCATCACACACTTTGTATCAAAATAATATATTTTTTAAAATTTATTTTAAATTTATTTAATCATTTTTATCATTGTGATTGTAGTGGCAAGGATCTTATTGCTCAGTGTCATTGCAAGCATCTGGCCTGTATATACCATAATATATTGTGTAATACATTGGCTAAGTATGACAATATAGATTTTGATAGATTCCCATGGAATATTGGAATTTTGTCGGACTTACAGTCATCCACCACATATGCAGCCTACAATTAAAGAACGCATTTATTCCATATGATTTGCTTCCGTTATTGGAATATTTAAAATAAAAATTTTATTAATAAATTTCGATGAAATAATTTATAAGAGGTTGAAGAAACTATGAAACAAATTCAGTCTCATAAAAGGGTAGTTGGAACAATAGTGGTGAATGCAGAAGGTATTACATGAGATCATTGACATGATTTACTTGTAGTTGTAAACAAAAATTTATAAAATTATATTTGTTTTAGGTATTCCTATAAAGTCAACATTAGATAATACGACAACAGTTCAATACGCAGGTTTGATAAGTCAATTGTCAGATAAAGCTCGTTCTGTCGTACGTGACTTGAATCCAACAAATGATTTAACTTTCTTGCGCATACGTAGCAAAAAACATAAAATTATGATGGCACCAGATAAAGAATTCATATTAATAGTAGTACAAAATCCAGTTGATTGATATTTAAAAGAAACAAAAATATATTTCAAAGTTAAGATTTATTTTTTTGGTTGTTAATTTAATCTGTATGCTACATTGGATGTTAATATCTATTCAATTAAATAAAGAAAAATAAAAGAATAAAGCTTAAAAATTATACAAAATGCAGTATTTAATTACTAATTTAACAAATTATGAACTTTTAGAGTTTTTAAATAGTGCTTTCTTCTTTGGTAACAATATTATATTTTTAAGTTTGATAATTATGAAAATATGTATATATAGTAATTCATGGCATGTTTATTTTTGTATTTAATACAATTATAAATGTACATTTCTCATCAATAAAATATCACAGTATCTTTTTTATAATTTAATTTTAATATTGAGATTGTTTTTATTCAGTGGAAAAAAAATGTGTAGTTGGTCCCTATTAATTATACATACATATAAGAGTGTCGCACAAATAATTCTATGCAGTCTTTTTAAGATAATATAAAAATACTTATAAATATAATCAATTAAAATACATATAATCAAAATTGTATGTATTAAAATTCAATAGCATATAAAAAAGATTTTTTAAAATTATATATATATAATAAAAATCCAACATTTTATATATATATATATATATATATATATATATATTATATTGTATATCATAAATATATATTTATTTATTTATATTTACCTATCTTTTTTTATATATATGGTAGAAATACAATGTATGAGTTATTTTATTTTGCAAAATTTTTGAAAGTTAAACTATTAATTACAATGAAATTATTTCATATAATACCGAGATTCTTTTCATAATAAAGATTAAGAGAGAGTTAGATTTTATCATAAGATTTATAAAAGTCATAAGATAAGGTTAATTGCATATTGTATAGTTTATCTCTCATTTTTTAAAGTAAATAAATATCAAAGTTACATTGCTTGAACTGGTGCGTTTGAAGTATGTTGTCTTTTTGAGGGATGCAAGACAATATAGTACAAAAGCATTGCTGTAATTCCCAAGAAAAAGGAAATGATACAAATAATAAAGATTATATTAAAGTACTAAGCCTCTTTAACTGCAGGAGGACAAGCATATTGCCATAATAAATTTGCTGCAATATTTTCAAAAAAGCAGATAACATAGAAAGATAGATGTTTTCAAAATGTTTTGCTATCTACAGCATTGAGATATATAAAAATGTGCACTATGCCAATAACGGAAGCAAATAATATGGAATAAATGCGTTCTTTAATTGTAGGCTGCATATGTGGTGGATGACTGCAAGTCCGACAAAATTCCAATATTCCATGGGAATCTATCAAAATCCATATTGTCATACTTAGCCAATGTATTACACAATATATTATGGTATATACAGGCCAGATGCTTGCAATGACACTGAGCAATAAAATCCTTGCCACTACAATCACAATGATAAAAATGATTAAATAAATTTAAAATAAATTTTTAAAAATATATTATTTTGATACAAATTGTGTGATGAATAATATTTAATTTTGTATATTAATTATTGGATATATATGTACCTAAAATAAGAAAATGCCAGAAAAATTGAATTTGCTTATTTATTTAAAGATGCTTATCATATACAAAAATGAATGATATAATCTCTAAAAACTCACCTTTAAAAAAAGGTAAAAAAAGGCGACCAGTTAAGGGCACGCCATTAACAAAAATTATCCATTGCAAACCCATGTACAATAGAATTGTATGAAAAATTATCGATTATAAACCCATGTACAATCGTAACAAAAGTAATGAAATAAAAAAAAAATTGCGCCAAGTGAAAGTAGAAACTTGTACCAGTGGAAAATTAAAGTTGCAGACATATATAGAGTCGTATAATGAATCAATAAAAATTTAAATTTGCAAATGTAGAATTGTACCATAAAAAAACTTATCTTTTAAAAAAAAGATAAACAAGATGCCAAGTCCATGCGCCATGTGAAAAAGTGTTAAACAAAAAAGTATTTTTAAGTAAAAAAATCTATCAATTGACAAAAATTTATGTTCTAAAATTAATATCTCTACAAAAAGTAATGTCCAATTATTGCGCGAATAAATAAACATTTTTATAAAAAATTAAAATTTAAAAACTTATGCAAATTTAAAATTAATATAAAATAAAAAGAAATAAAAAAATTTTAGTTAAAAAAACTGGGCGCGCTGCTAAATAATATTCTAATGATATTAAAATTAAATTGTTACTTTTAAACTCATTGCAGCGCGCCCAGTTTTTTTAACTAAAATTTTTTTATTTCTTTTTATTTTATATTAATTTTAAATTTGCATAAGTTTTTAAATTTTAATTTTTTATAAAAATGTTTATTTATTCGCGCAATAATTGGACATTACTTTTTGTAGAGATATTAATTTTAGAACATAAATTTTTGTCAATTGATAGATTTTTTTACTTAAAAATACTTTTTTGTTTAACACTTTTTCACATGGCGCATGGACTTGGCATCTTGTTTATCTTTTTTTTAAAAGATAAGTTTTTTTATGGTACAATTCTACATTTGCAAATTTAAATTTTTATTGATTCATTATACGACTCTATATATGTCTGCAACTTTAATTTTCCACTGGTACAAGTTTCTACTTTCACTTGGCGCAATTTTTTTTTTATTTCATTACTTTTGTTACGATTGTACATGGGTTTATAATCGATAATTTTTCATACAATTCTATTGTACATGGGTTTGCAATGGATAATTTTGTTAATTAATATACAACTATTCATTTTTTGTCATTTTAAACGATATTTGCTATTTCAGCAAAACTTTGTATTTAAAACCTTCTTAACACGACTAAAAAGTAAAATATCGAAATAAAAAATGCATTTTATAAGAGACGGAAAATATTCATGACTTCTGA